CCTGGCGAGACTCCAGCAGCTCCTGCGGGGCGACATTGCCATGGTTACCCTGGGGGAGGGAGGGCTGCGGCAGCCCCGGGACTGTGCGGGCCGGGCACGGAGCCAACTGCCCTGAAACTGCCTGCAGCAGAGAGGGAGAAAGGGCTGCTTCTGACTTCTGGAAAACACCGGTTAGGTTAAGATGCGGAAAACAGTAACTTTGTCGCGCTCTTTTATGTAAGAAACGCTGGCAGCTGTAAGAGCACCAGCGCGCTGCTCGGGAACAGCGTTTTCCAGCCTATGTCCCGTAATTGGTTGCACATGTCTTTTTTTTTTTTTTTTTTCCCCTTTCTTTCTTCTTTTTTCTTCCCCCAGCAGTGAATTCTTTCTCCATTGTCCTATTTCAATCATGCTACAAGGGCATTTTGGGAGTTTTCCTTTTAAGAAGCTGGGGAATATAAATCTCATTCCAAACTCTGCATGGCAGAGTAATGTTATTTATTCTCTTGTTAGTCTTATGAGATAGAAACTGATATCTCCTCCCTTTCCCATTTTGTACATGAGGAATTTGAGCACAAGGGACACTTAAAACTAACCAGGACTGTATAATAAATCTGTAATTCGTTCTCATGTATCCTGAATCTTCACCTCCAGTCTGGTCACTGGGCCACTCTCTCAATGGTAGGAACAACGTAAAATGTTGCTAGCGTGGGTATCGGGATGTAAACATCGGGAAAGAGCAAAACACACGCTGCTATAATGTTGCATTCAGGAACATGTCCCTGGCTCGGGCACTCAAACGCCTGGGCATGAATGCCAGGGGCAGGAGCAGAGGATACACAGGGAGGCAAGACATACATTTCTACCGTGTTTGGTGAGAGCAGTCCTGGCACTGATTTACGCATCTCCATTTCATGCAAATCAGAAAAGGTTGTTTCTGACTTGGAGTCAGACAACTCTGCTCATGGAGAAAGCATGTTCTGGGATGAGGGCAAGAGCAGTATTCATTAATGAGCTAAGTCACATTCTTCACTGATGCCACTGGGCTTCTGCTCTTGCAAATCGTTTCCGTGTGTGCTGTGGCTAACTCAGGTCTGACTGTACTTTTACTCCATCAGTGGAAGATGGGAGGGGAGGCAAAAGCAAGCTCATTGAAATGTAATCACTGTTTCAAATACACAAGGACCAGACCCCACAGCTTTTTGGCTCTGGCCTATTTTAAGGCATAGGGTCTGAATCACAAATGAAATCATGAAAGTTAACTTATCTTACATTGATTTTGGCCAGCTTTTTCTGTATGGTTGGGGTATCTCCAGATACATCTGACCAGCGGTGCAGCTCTTCCTTTGCAGAATGGAGCCAATCTGTGAACTCATGCACAGCATCAAGGTACAGCAAATGGTCCTTCACAATATCTTCCACTTTCCTCATTTTCTCCTGTCATTCAGATTAAAAACAACAATAAACAAGTTTTTAAATATTGTCCCAGCTTTCTGCATGCACTGGTACAGAGTGCTGGTCTGACTATAGCACCCATTGAAATGCTGAAGAGAGCACAGCTTATAGCAGCAAAACATAGTGCTCACTGCACAGAGTTTGGTTTAGGTTGGTTTGGACAGCAGTGTTCTGCTGGGGCAAAAGATGAAGAAACCTTCTGAAAATTCATACAGAAATGTACTTTAACACATCCTTTAACACAACATGTATTGTTTAATAGATGTCAAAGCTGCAGCTGTGCAGCTCTGGCACACTCTTCCCAATAGCCCCTGGAGACGGTCTTACAGATCACCCATTAGTGCTCCCAGGGAGCAGCATGCTGCTAGAAACAGCTCTTATTTAGAAGCATCAGGTCTCTATAAATGCTAAATAGAGTCACAGAGATGTTCCATACACGGACCAAAAAGGAGGACTTTTGCTGTTCTAAAGTACAAAGGGTTCTTATGGTGCTGAGTTCCAATTTAACCATCAGGCCTCGTAGCCCTTGAAGACACTTTCCCTGACACAGAAATCAGACAGCTTCATGGCTCCACCTTAAATTTTTAATGCAAGCTTAAAGCAGGAGCAGCTTACTGTACTATGAACAGATGAAATTCACTAGATGTGCCTTTGGTTTGACTAAGTAGATTTGCTTTTATATTCTTTTGAGCTAACACTCAGGAATGTTTGTCAAAACTAACCAAAAGTGAACTGAGCTAACCAGACAGCTTTTTACTCCTGTGTGGATACTCTAATACAGATCTATGTATCCATTAAAAAAAAAAAAAAGAAAAAAAAAAAAAGAGAGCAGAAGTTCATCATAAAAACAAGAGTGTGTTAATAGACAGTAATTACAGACCAGATAGTATAACATCTTTGTTCTATATTTAAAGCAATAAAGCAATGACAGTAATAGTATATCTTATCCCACAAAATAAAAGAAACAAACCCAACCCCAAACTGCATGATTCCACATAATGACTTTTCTTTATCAAGTACTTTTCCTAAGAGGTAATTTGTTCAATATTCCATTTTTTTTTACTTTCCTACTCTTAAAAGACTACTGATTAGTTATTGATTAATTAGTTAGTTAATAATTATTGATTAATTACCTACTGCCATCAGATTACTGAATTTAGATACAGTGTTTACTTCAGTCTCACATTAGCCTGTTATTATGTGGCCCCCTTCTGATGCAAACTTGCCCATTAGCTGAGAAGGTGGAGACTGTAACTCAGCTAGTGTCACTGTCATGACCTGGTTGGCAGAGGGTTTCAGTGCGTTAACATATCTTTCCTTAGAAACCAAACAGGATACCTCTATAAATGGGGAGTGCTCTACTGTCTTGAAACACCAGAAAATATGGGCATATATCTTTCTGGCAACAGGATTTCTCTTTCTGACAATATGTTTTCTGCTCAGGGAGGCATTTCATTCTTCCCATTTTAGGGGAAAAAAAGTGCTGGGAATGACTGTAAAAGCATTAAATCAAAATAAATCTGGAAGAATGTCAGAAATATTGTTGTTTACATTAAACTAGGAATAAATTATATGCTCTTCACTTCTCAAAAATCATAACCATACTGACTTCAATTCCCAATATGTATTTTGCATTGAAGTGAAATTTAGTAAACTATGTCCAATTTTTTTGGTTAGACTCAACCATAATAAAAGGCAAGATTATTCAAACAAAGTCAATCCTTCAGTCACCACAAATTTATGAAAATAAAAATGTTAGTTTTATATACAGATGTTTAAACATTTTACTTACTTGAAATGGAGACCTTTGCCTTTATCTTACCTTGGCTACAGTTGTGATGTCATTAAACTGTGTTTTTAGTTCTTCTTGAGCTGCTTCTCTAAAAGAATCATCCTCTGTTTTCTCATAAAGTTCCACAGCTTTTTCAATTAGTTGCTGTAAATCACCAGAGTGATCCTCTATCTCAGAAACAATAGCCTGGAAGTGGTCCAGCTGAGCAAACTTCTCCTTCAAACCAATCTGTGGCTCTAATGGCTGTTCCACTTTGTGATCCAGCTTCTCTAACCACTGCTCCAGCTGATTTTTCCTTTCCAGATATTCATTCCACTGACTAATGACAGACTCTAGGCAGCTTACATTAAAAGAAACATAAACAGTACAGATGAGAAATTTTGAAAAGTCGGAAAAGAAGAGTCTCTTTATATCTTCAGTGCTACAATGTCTTTACCCTGGTATAATGCGTTTTGATTAATATTTTTCCTCCATCTTGCTTCAGTTTTCTGCGTCAACTTACATCCAAGCTATTTGAGAATTTCTGCATTATTTGGCAACTGTACATAACCTGATGCAACTGCTTCCCTGCTACAGGTTATGTGAGCAATCTGTCAGTGCCAGACTAATGAAAAGCACATTTCAGTCCAGCAAAGTGAAATATAGAACATTACTGGAGTTCTTTATGATCAGAGGAATAAAATAATAGAACCATAGAATGGTTTGGGTTGGAAGAAACCTTAAAGATCCTCTAGTTCCAACCCCCTTCATGGGCAAGGACACCTTCCACTAGATTAGGTTGGTCAAGGCCCCATCCAACCTGGCTGTGAATACTTTCAGGGATGGGGTATCCACAGTGGGAAACCTGTTCCAGTGTCTCATCACCCTCACACTAAATAATTTCTTCCTAACATCTAACCTAAATCTCTCCTCTTCCAGTTTTAGTCTATTACCCCTTCTCCTATTGCTAAAAGCCCCTTATTAAAAGTTTCTCCCTAACTTTCTTGTAGGCTCCTTTCACATGTAGTTCTTGACAACTAAAACATATTCTGGCAAGCCTTGGAAAAAAAAAAATCAATTATATATAGTATCATTTACAATTTATAAATCGTATATGCTCTCTTCTGTTATATATCTCTCCTCCTAGCAGATCACTGGATTTCCCTGGTTTTATGTTGTGGAATGTAATTCTCATTCCATTGACGTAGACATAAATAGACATGACTATGGCAAGGAGTAATTCAAAGTGCAATGATCTAGCCTAATCTAAATAATATTTTATGACAAAAATTGGGAGAAATTAATGAAATCTTAAAGGCAGCCCATCATAACTTTCTACATATAATTGTATTCCAATTTTGGAATAAGTAAGGAGATGGCACCACTTCCAGTTTAAAAACTCCAAAATACCTATATCATGGATCCTACTATTGAGAGTAGATATTTAGGACACAGATAGCCTAGCACTCAGATTATCTACAATACAGACCCATGACTTTTCAGATCCAGATCTGTGAGTTTTCTGATGCAGGGAAAACTTTGTTGCTGTTTGCTTTGTTGTTTGTCTTTTAAAAAAAAAAATAAAAACAATGAAAGGCAGAATTGAAAAACTGTCCTAGAGTTTTGTAAGGAAAAGGTAGGTAAATGTGGCAGATGTTCTTGGTCATGCCCAAGTTACAGGTTCAATAACTCAGAAAGCTCTTTCCAGTTTATTTCTCTGCATGAATTTGTGTTTGTTGGTTGGTTGGGTATTGTTTTATTTTTGTTTGTTTGCTTTGTTTTTACCTTCAAGAACCATCTCACATGAAACTTCATTCATCTGATGGGGTCAACATGTTTTTCATGGAAGGATGTATTTTTCTCAGTCAATTTTTATTCTATCTGATAACACAACTTTCCAGTCACCTACCAGTAATGGCTTATTTGCTGTAGATTCCCACTCTTTCTAAGAAATTATGGCAGGGGCTGAGAGTTTTACCTTTGCCAGTTTGCTGAGGTGCTGATGATGTCATTCCATACGTCCTTCAGTGTCTGTAGCTCTGTTTGTATCACCTTTTGTCCTTCTTCATTACTGCTTCTAAGTGCTTGTTCTCCTTTGCCAATGGCCATGTTCAGCTTAACTTCACCATCACCTTTGAGTAAGAGAATCTCCTGCGAGGCAAAATAAGTAGAAATATCAAATGCAAACTTCTGAGAGGTGAAAGCTGTTATTCTTTCAACAGCAGACACCATCTTCTCTGAGCTCATTTATCTTTGACAGCTGTGGCCAGTATGACTTCAAATACAACTTTTCTTGTAAGTGCCTGTCTCTTGTTATCTGCAAGTGATCCAGCAGTTTTTCCCACAGCCACACAGATATTTCACTGTATTGGTCATCATAAAATATTGCTCACATTGCAGCAGATAATAGGTAGGTGAAGCACTGTACAGAGAAACAGCATCATCTAGCTAGAAGAAATCTCAAGGAAGACCGTTGCGGGGTCTTTTACACTCATGACCTTCCAAATAGATATTTATCTAACCTGTTCCTGAAGACTTCCTGTGACAGCTACATCACAGTCTCTCAGTATCAATTGTTCCAAGGCTTCCCCTCCATTAGAAAGCTAATTTGGACCTTATTACACATTTTTGTAGTTCATTATTTTTTATAAAATGTAATACCTGGCATCTGTCTCCATTAAATTTCATCCTGTTTTTCATACTACACCTCCCAGTTTGTCAAGAACACTTTGAATTTTAATCCTCTCCTTCATAACCATATAGGAAGAAAAAATATTATTTTTACATAGATGTGGCCCACACCCAATATAACCTTGGTGCCTCTAGCTGAGGGATCTCTTTACCTGAACTTGTGCCAGTCGTCTCTCCAGCGTGGCTTTGCTACCAACAGTGCTCTCTGATGACGCCAGTTTATCTTGAACCTCTTTCACCCATGACCACATACTCTGTAATGCCTCTTCCAAAGTGAGATGCTCTTGAAGTGCAAGCTGACATGTTCGCAGCTTCTCCTTGACACTTTTGACCATGTTTTGATAACTGGTGAAATGTTGAGAGGCCAAGCGCACTTCTCTCCCTGCACCATGGCCTTCTTCATTTAAAGTCTGTGCCATTTGGGACAGCTTATCAAAAGATTCCCTGAAACAAAATAGTGAGACTGAAAATCAGTTTCAGAAAGCATATGATACTGTTATAGCAACTATCAGACATTATGAAGGTTGCTGACATAATCACCTACTCCACCAGTGACAGAGTTCATAGTTAAATTAGCTGGGAGAGACTGTAAGGAAATATAAACAGTTTGTATTAATTAATACCTTATGTACAGTGCCATTTCTTGCAGAGTTTGGTGCTCAAAATTATCATACTGAAATCTTTGTGTTGCATATTGGAATTAAAGGCTAACTTAATTCCTCACTGAAAGTGTTCAAGGCCAGGTTGAACGGGGCTTTAAGTAACCTAGTCTAGTGGAAGGTGTCCCTGTCCATGGCAGGGTGGTTGGAACTAGGTGATCCTTAAGATCCCTTCCAACCCAAACCATTCTATGATTCTATGGTTCATTTTCTTCTCAGGTATCAGACTTTCCAGTTCTGTAGTAACTGCTACCTTTTTGTACCTGTCAAAACTTCTAAGAAGATTATAGTCTTTGACAGGTAGGAAGGCATGATGAAAAGGTCGGACCATCTATACAGGATTAGATATTCATTCTGGGATTCAGTACAAAGGTCAGTAAAAGGGATGAAAATTCTGAGTTTATACAGCCTCAGTTAAACTCAGTCTGCTGGATCACCCTTCCAGATACCCTGTGATTACAGGGAATTTACATCAGACCAAAATGTCTTGCATCAGTCTCAAGGGGATAGGTAGAGACTGGGTTTCTTTTTAGCATTCTGTGAGGCCTGAACAAATGACCACTATCTCTGTTCTATCTTCAGCAACCTAATTAAAAAGAATGTGAAAAACCATAGTGTACTAAAGAAGGCAATTACTTCATCAACTATTGGCTAGGTCTAAATTCTAGAAAGATTTCACAGCCAATGTGAATGTTATTTCTTCTCTTTTATATAGTCAGCTATGTCAGAAAGTGGATTCTGCTAACCTTGTTGGATCTGAATGTTGCAGGACAAAGTAATTTTTTAAGTATTGATGATAGGTGTAATTTTTACTATTGCTTTTGCAAGCAACATTTTAAGATTTGTTTTTATGAGCAATACTTCTAAGATTTTTTCTTTAAAGATTATATTTTTCAGTTTCCATCTAAAAAATAAGTAGTATAAGCTTTTCTTAGTATGTATGAAGAAATGTATGAAGTTTTCTTAGAAATATATGAAGTTTTGGAGTTGTTTTCAAATTCCAGTTTTGTTAAAACTGGAAGTATCTGGATTCAGCCTCTTTTCACAGAGTATATTGCAACACCTTTCTCTATCATTTGCAAACACACTTAACCCCAACAATTTATTTTCAGCATTGCTTTAGCAGAGGAAAAAAAAATGAGAGTATTTTATGAAATGTATTTCATATTACCTTGAATTTAGTAACTCTTCCAGGAACTTTTCAAGTTTTTGCACCTCCTTTGTCTTCTCAGGAATAAGCTGTTTGCTCTCTCCTAAAGCTTCTGTGTTTATTCTTTCTTCCATGTCATGTATCCACAGGCCAAGTTTCTTGTGTTGATCCTCAAAACTACAAAACAGATAAATACTCCCTCAAAATATTCCTCAGGTGAAGTTAGTAAGAAGTTAGCTCAGTTGTTTCAACATCCACAAGACCAGGAAAATAATGCTTCATGCTTCAAGTATAAGAGTTGTACACAAGACATAATTCCACAGTGACTACTAATCTAAAAATATTCGGCAACTCTCTAAAAATGTCCAACAAAATCATGGGAACTCCAGTGAGAAAAAAGCCTCCAAAATTTAAAGTGGCAGTGCTGCTTTTTTTTTTTTTTATTACTAGATTTAATAAAGGCAGACAAACAGGAAGCTTTTCCCAAATCCTTATAAAGATTTAGTCTGAGATTAAAAGATGGGTAAAAATGGGCTTTTATTCAGCACTGACACAGTGCCTGAAGTGTTGTGCTGTCAGTTTCTCCAGTAGAATGTAATTGGAATCTGGAGGGTTCAGAACTCTGCAAGCCAAGTTCTGGCCCTAAATTTGAAAACCTTTTCTGAACACAAAAGCACACTACCTCATCCTGCTGTTTTACACATTACTGCTACACTACCTATATTTGCAATTAGCAACAGTGTTGAATCTAGTTATACCAACATGTATTTGAACGCCCAAAATTCCAGCCCTAGTTAATAATTATTTAAGAGCGCATTTTTACTAGCTCCTTAGAAAAAAGGACCAGGACATGACAGATGCATTCTGTGTAAAAGGCCTACTATCTTCAAAGCCCAGGGCAGGACTTGAAAAATCATCACTCCTTCTCCTCCCAGGAAACTGCATTTAAATTACTGAGACCCCAACTGCTGATCTGGGATTGCATGAGCTACACAGATCTTCCACAAATATGATCCTGACCTTCCATGCTTTAACCAAATCAACACCCTTGGAACAAGACCTGTTGGTTTTAGCAGAGAATTATATTTTCTTTTAAATAATTTCCAAAGCCTAAAAGCAAACAGGAGAAGAATAACTGGAACTAATTTCAAATTGTGCCCTGTATTTCTGCAGCCGTACAATTCCATCCAGACCATCTGTGACCACCAGTATTACTCACCTTCCCAGGTGTGAGGCACAAGTTTCCAGGGCTTTCTTATCATTCAGACACTGATTGAGGAATTCCTGGAAGTTCTGGTTAGACTTGGCTATTTGTTCCTGAATGTGGCTCACAGCTGGTTGGGGTAAGCAAGCATATAAACTTTCTCCTTCCTTGCAGGCAGCATTTAACTTTTTTTGTCCCTCACTAACAGAATCCAGCACATTCTGTGTAATGAAAGAATACAGTTTAAACATGCAAGATTTAATAAAAAAAGATAAGTAATATTTCTATTTCCCCAACAAGGTAAGAGCCACATCTAGCTATGGGGAAAAATCTAAGCAGACAGTTAAAATAAAATTTTATTAAGTGGTGAAACAATTCACAGAGGTCAATTTTCCTGTTTGGTCCCAAGGTTGTCCTTTCTTTCTCTGGACAGTTCAGTCATGTCCTGAAGATGTTATATATTTCAGGAATTTGGGCTGTTTGCAGTAGGTATCTGCTATTTGTTTTCTGTCCCATCAAAAATCTACACAGATAAGCTTTAACATGTTAGATTTAATCTGAAAGACTGAATATTTAGTTACCCATAATCCTTCCAGAAATTAAATTCTGATCTCTCAGAACAATGAACATGGTTTCCACTGTATTCCCCCTACAGTACATATTGCTGTCTTGAAGTCTTTTTATGTTATTTCTTTGGAAAAAGGCAACACATATTATAGCATCTACTAATTATTTTAGATACATATAGTTACATTTCTAATTACTATTTTTGTAATTTTTTCACTATACCTGCAAGTCATGTAGCTTTGCCTCTATGGCTTTGCTGTCTCCAGACCTGTCAGATGAATCTTTCACTGCAGCCTTCACACCGGAAAACCATTCCCAGAATTCTTGCATAGTATCTTATTTAATAAAAAAGCATTGAGAAGATTTTTTTTATTATCTTTTTTTTTTTTTTTTAAGAAGCAGCATTATCCACAATACTATACAGCTGTCTTCCACAATCCTTTTATCCCTTAGGAACAGCATCTAGAAGCTAACAGGATGAGTCTCATTGCCTTCCATGACCTTGGGAAGTGGGATTCATTTCACAAAAAGTTAGATATTTCCTCTATAAACATCCAAATTTGAAGTGTCACACTAGGTTCCTCTTTATAGTCAAAGGGAAAATACAGTTATTTTCAGTCTGTGATACATCCCAATTTAATGCTAGATTGTATCTATATTAATAACCTACTATATAAGATTTTAAATTGCCTACTTCTCTCCATTGACTATCCAGGAAGCCCAGGAAATACTTCAGATAGGGATTTTTACATTATAAACATCTCTAGGTGGTTATATACATCTCTTTATGGCAAATAAACCAAGTGTGTGTATTCAATAGAGATCTATCTAACAGTAAAGAAAGATGGAGCTGAGCTTGACTTTCATGCATATTATGTGTTTAAAGTTGAATTCTGTTTTTGTAAAATGCTTTGTTTCAGAGCAGCTATCAAATGAACATTTGGTAACAGGACTTTTTGGATGGCTTCATAGGAAAATAAAGTTGTAATTGCAAGTGAAATCACTGGAAACTCTGGCAAACTCCAGAATGATTCACTGCTGCGGTCTAACGGCTCATATTAACAAGCATTAAGACTCACAGAGGAAATGTTTTTCCAAGGACTCTTGCATGCTGGCCTGTGTTCTGGAGCAGAGCTGATTCACAGCTTCATACTTCTTTATTAATGAAGTGACAGTGCCACCAAGAGTTTCCAGCTCTACAGAATGGTATCTGCGACACAGGCTGTTGAGGTTCTCACGGGTCAAGTCAATGCTGCTCTGCTGAAGCTGAAGGTCTTTTTGTATTTCCTGAAAATGCAGATACAACACAATCACGACATTTGTAAAGAAACAAAAGAGTCTTCACTTTTCCTCAAGGCTTACTGCTCCTTCGATATGCTCCTTCCTTCTATGGTCTATTGCAAGTCCTACACTCAATGAAGGGAAGAAGTACTGCACTAGGTTTCCTGAATTTTCCAAGAGTACTTGAAACTAAAGAGCCATCACAGATATGTAAAAAAGGCTGTTTCTTATTGTTTGCTACTCTATTAAAAATTAATACATTTCAAGGTATATTGAATAGCAATGTTTATTTTCACCAAAGTCTGAAGGTATGTGTAAGATGCAATATGACATAGGTATTTGGTAGGACATCTGAATGAAAGGGAATTTTCATCTGACTAGAGAGGACCATTTGTTTAAAAATTAAATTGGAATTGGCTAATAAATCAACATTAACGTGCTCATGCTGAAGAAAATCTGCATGTGGTGTCATGCTGTGATGTGCATATTTGTATGCAATCAAGAGAGCTTTAGGATGTAGACAAAAGAATTGCTATAGATGAGGACTGAGGAGGACTTCTAAAGCAGAACTTTGTGTTGATTTCAGTCCAGGATATGTTACTGTGATGAGTTATAAGTTCATAACTTATATTCAGGGGAATCAATGGTCCTGCAAACATGCTGGAATAATAACCGAAGAGTTCAGTTATATTCTAGCAGCTGTGTAGGAGACATAATTTGTATCAAACGGAAATTAAGTATAATGCTTAGCAAAAAAATGCATAAGAAAAAGGATATTCATTTTCTTCAGCACCAACCTTCACTTTATTTAGAGCTTCAGGATCCAAGTTACGTGTACAGCTTAACAGTGTCTCTTCCACTGTTGTTAACTGGGCTGTCACCTCATCAATAAACTTCTGCAACTGCATCTTCTGAGTACTGTAATCTTTCAGTGTCTCTTTTGCTGTCTCTGACATTTCTTTGGCATGTGCCAACTTTTGCCTCAAATCTGATTCTATGAACTAAAAGAAAAATGTTATGTAGTAAAACTTTTAAATGAAACATTTATTATGGTAAATGTTTATTGAAAAAATGCAAGGTAACACACAAAATAAAGTGATACACACTAATAATTTTGATCTCTTTACATCTGTAACTAAAGATACTTCCATAAATAAAAAATGCCAACCATTCAGGATTTTGTATTGGCTATGCAGTAATCCAAAGAAGGAATACTTGCCTATAAAAAGCCAGAGTGCAATCTGTTTAAGTTATTATCCACTTCTGAGAAATTAAACAGTAGATCATTTGCCTTTACTAATTTACCATATTTACAGAGCATGACATAAAGCACTGAGGCTTAAAGTGTCTCAGTGGAAGGCAGATTGAATTTAAAGACAATACAAAAATAAGTTAGAAAATAGCCCATTAACCTGTCCAAAGATAGCAATATGTAGAATTATAGTAGATGTTAGCTGTGTATATATTACTAACACACAGTAAAGAAAATCAGTCATAATAACGTAATATTTATAAATAATTACTGAAAATTCTTTTAAGAAATTGTATATTTTCTTAGGATATGGACTGGTCATACTGTAGTTTACTTATCTGGTATTTTAATGTTGGCAAATAATTTGGGGATGTTTAATTTGTGAGATTATTTTCAGATTTTCATCTAAAGATCAACTACAATTATTTTATTGTATTGATTTAAATATTTTATCATGTTAGTAGTTGGAAATCGGTGTGTGTTGGTTAAAACTGATATTCTGCAAAATAATTTGCTCTAAGTTTCACTCTATAACTGGTCAGGTATTTATTATGAAGGATATGACTAAACCTGAATTTTCTGAGCCTCTCAAGTAAGGGAGAACATAAGCACTTCCACATCATTTGCACATCTTTCTGCTGAAGGGTTATGATTGGTAATTTAGGCTTCTCTGTAGGGTCATGGCAGAATTTGGACAAGGCTTGAGTGTTATATTAAGTTCTGATAAACGTTTTCTAAATATATATCTATAAAAATATTTTTTTCTCTTGTAGAAATCACAGAAGTCAGCTTATCTTTTTAAACTTCTGGCACAGAAACAGAATAATCTCACACACCAATTTCCATTTGAAATCAAACATCCAAAATTGTCATACTTTGGTTTTGCATCTGCCCTAGAACACAAAAAATAAAGACCCAGCCAACAATAACAGCTCACCTTCAGTGCTTGTATTTTATTCCTTTATTGTAACAGCTAGTTCAGGGTGCTAATTCCAGTCCACTAAAGAATACTTTTATTTTGGTAAAGCAAATAAACATACTTTACTGCATTATAATTCTTTCAAAGAGGCAAGCTGTGTATGCACTCATACATAATGTGGCTTAATGCTGTACAGAGAGTACAATCTGTTTCACATCTGATCAGCTACCTTACAAACTATTTAATCTATTTGGATTTAGTGAAAAATACTTCTACAACTCTTATGTTCTTTACTTGCTGGCATAATTATTACAAAAAAATCAAAGCTAACTAAACAAATATGAACAAAGTATAGTTATGATACATATTAATACTGCAGTATCTGTCACCTTGGAAGAAGAAGGCAGTACAGGAGAGACAGATTTTAGGAGGAGTTTCTACTTAGTCATCTGAGCACAGCCTGTGATTACAAATATCTTTATTTTACCTGGAGGTCTGCAGGAGGCTCTTGACAATGGATCAGTTCTTTGAGATCTGAAATTTTGGAACTAAGCTGCTCCAACTTCAGTTCTTTATCCTTGACTTCAGACTGTAAAAGAGATATGGTCTAAGTTTCATAACAAACTACAAGAAGGATTTAGACCTTCAAAAGGATGCTCCATCAATTGAAAAAAAGAAAAAAAATATGAAAAAAAGAAGAATAAATAAATAAAGCTTAGCAATCAGAGGGAAAACACTATTGTTCTATTATTTCTATACTCTAAAAATTTCCTGTTGCTTTCCTTTATTAGACTCAGTTCTGAGGTTTTGGTTTGTTGTTTTTTTTCTCCTCAATCAAAATAGCCAAACACATTTTTAACATTTAGAATGTACTAATAGCTTTAGTTTCTTAAAACTGGCTGAATAAAGATGGGTATGTCATTGTTTATTTGACTGGAAAAATCTACTGCGGTTGTTAGGATCCACGTAATAGCAGGCAGAGTATAATACATGTGCTCTCTGGTTTTTATTACAAGGAAGTGAGCTCTTGGAAAAAAAATTAGACACAGAAATAAATGTTAACTTCAAAAAGGAATTAAAAAATGCTGTTATATATGCACTGACATGTCTGGACCTTGCATTCAGTGTTCATATAGAACCAAGATAATAGTAAAATGAAAGAGAAAAATAAAAAATTTTATAACTGTAGTTCTAAAATATTAGGCAAGTAATTGGTGTGAATCCTATTGCCCAAAATTTCTTTTCTAAAAAATCAAACAGAACACTCCAATTAAAAGATTGGACAGTGGATTTCAGGATTAAATTGCTGCATTTAACATCTGCCCTGAATGGCAGAAGTTCAGGTGGCCCCAGAAGAATCTTCAGGGGGTATTTTTTTCTGGGGAGGATATAATGTTAGGTGATTAAGAAAGCAGCCACTGCTCTGGACCATATAAAAGGTACACTCATCATTTCTGTCCATGCCCATCTATTTCTGTTTGCTGAACTCTTCTGTCAGTGAACTGCCTTTCCTCTTGCCTTTGTAGAAGTGTGAAGTACTGCAGACTATGTGTTCTGTGACTGCAGATGCACTCATGGTGCTCATGTCTTCTGCTATTCTGGCCCTCCTGTGACTCAGGTACATTAAGTAAAATATGGCTCTTTCTATGGTTGATCCACTCTATATTTTAAGCCAATAGTGGCAGAATGCATCATGAACACTGGTTAGATTTCTAAAACAGTTTAACACTACCCAAAAATGAAAGACATAATCTCACTAAATTTTTAGAATTAAAATTTGCTCTCAAGCCCAGTATATCTTTTTTATTGTCTGAACAATCCAGCATCTTAGATCAGATTTTAGAACCACTTATTTTTTTGCTTAACTTCACCTGAAATTATCTAAAATTTCCATCAGTTTATACTGGAACAGAGCTCAAACCAATGCCATTTTTGAATGAAATTAAAATATTGAACTTTTTATGCTTGTAAGAACTGGAATGGGTTGCTCAGGGAGGTTGTTGATGCCCCATCCCTGCAGGCTTTTAAGGCCGGGTCGGACGAGGTTTTGTGCAACCTGGTCTAGTGGTGGGGTTCCCGGCTCATGGCAGGGGGCTTGGAACTAGATGATCTTTAAGGTCCCTTCCAACCTTAATGATTCTATGATTCTATGTACTGCTAGAGCCAAAATAATCACAGAGCTTAGATCTAGCAAGAGTTGTGCTGTTATTGTTTCTGTTAGAAACAAACAGCTTAAAAAAGGGACTTGAATGCTGTCAGGTAGCCATTGGGTTAGTGGTTCCACTGCTTGAACAGGGGACACGGTGGTTTATACCATTATTATTGCAGATTTATGCATAAGCACCTGGAAGTCTTTGAGGAGGACCTCCATTCTCTGACTGTTACTCAAGTTGCTGATGCCTTCACTCAGTTGAGAAATGCACTTATTGCACCATCCATCCATTTCATCTCCAGTTTTCAGGATGTCATCCCACAGAGACAAGCTTACCCTCAGCTGGTCAATGTTTTCTTCAATTCTTTCAGACACCTTTTAGGAGAGGACAATGTAGCAATACCATTAACAAATTAATTTTAGATTTCTTTATTTTGCAGCCAGTTGTAAGACAATTGTACCAGAAATAATTTGTAAGCCTAGGTGAATTTTTTTTTCTTATTGTTAGGTCCAAATTCGGAATTCTAATTTCAGTTTAGTTATTCAGATCATAAAATAAACAACAATTATGTGACTTTTTCTAAAAAATTGTATATTTTTAGTAAGAAAGAGTTTTATGTTTAAATAAACTTTTATCTTTAAAACCAGCTCCATTTATCTTTCTTATGTCACGTAGGAATTTGCTAATGAAGTAGTATAAATATGAAAATGTAAAAGATTAAGTTTTATAATGTGTTTCTCTGTTATAATGCCTTTCTCAACATAGTCACATCTTCTATGGTGTAACCTAATTTATTTAGTCCCTAATTTATTTAGTCCTATTTACTAAGTAATACTTAGTAACTTACTAAGTATTACTTAGTAAATACTAATTAATTTACTGCATACATTAGATGCAAATGTATAAGTAACAGTACATACATTAGATGAGAATCCTATTCAAATTTATACTCTGAAGTGTGCACTGAGCAAACTTATACTAGTAACATTCATACACTGTTATAGGACATCCTTTTAAATACATCAAATGGATGCCACAACTTGTACGACAACGGATGCCAAATCCCTCTGATTAACCCTTTGAGATACATTTCAAAGTAAACTTTACAAAACAATTGCACTCTAAGAAAATACTAATACTACAACCTTAGCCCCACTTAAAAACTACATTTCATGTATAAACACCAGGCTCTTACATCTAGCCATTTGTCCACTGTACTGTTCATATCGGTTTTTACTGCAGTGGGGTCGCAGCTCTGCACTCTTTTCAGTTCTGCTAACAAATGTTTTCCTTTATTGGTGAAAGTATCCAGGTCTTTTTGTTTATTGCTCAGATCATTCTTGGCAGCTTCATGCTGTGGACATAAAGATTTGCTTGTTTAATGAAGCCTTAAAGAAAGAAAGAAAAATCCAGTTCTCCAGGCACTCATCCCTAGACCTGTGGTTTATGTTAAGCATTGGCTAATTGTCATTCAGCATGCCATTTAATATTTAATTATGCCACAAAATACAGAGCAACTGCAATTTTAAAATTATTATTCTTTTAATCTTCAGACTCTACCTGTCTAAAATTGAATAAGAACCCATCGTTGACTACCTAATATCTAAAATCAGTTCTGGAATTACAGCAGGTTAAACAGAGGGTGTGGCAAAAAAGTTTAGAGTTGTAAACCCCATCACTCCTAGATACTGTGGAAAATAAAAGTACAGTTGTGTTCAGAAGGAAATGAGACAAAATGTTCATGGTTACTAAGTTTGCAATTCTAGGGGCAGGGAAGTCTTTACAAGACCGTCACTGAAGAGGTGACAACATTCTGAGAAAGGATCATAGTAAGCATCTCATATTTTTTTTCTTTACCAAGTATTCCAGACCAGCAGTCAAGGTGAGCTACTAATCTGGATGCCACATGGACACGTGGCCACACCTACTTTATTATGGTAGAAGTTGTGCAAAATATTTGTTGTGCTTCCACTGGCCACTGTAGTAGCAGGGAATTCTCCACAGCCCAAGGCTCACAAAAAGGAGAGGAATCAAATGGAATTACATGCATTTCTATGTTAGACTGGTGAACTCCGTTCTGGATTTCAGTTCTAGTTAGAATGTCTATTAAAAAGAAGCCATAAATATGCACAGTCTAGAATTAGGTTTACAGAGATCTGACTGAAAATTTTTTTGTGAAGAACTCAATAGGCTTCCAAATTAAATTACCCTCTGAAAGAACAGAAAGAATTTAACTGTTTTTCCTGACAGGCTGATGGATAGCAGGATTTGGAATTTTAGAAATACGATCCAGTGAAATGAATGGAATGCAGGGATGCAAATTCCTTATCTCTGCTCAGTGGCCAATATTAACATTGTACCACATGAAATATGTTGTTTTAGAGAAAGAGAGGGACCTAAGAATTGCACACATCAGAAATCTGTGCAACTAATTTTCTTTTGTTAACTTTTAACCATTCAAAAAATTACCCAGTATGGAAACATATAAAAGTCTGCTGACTGGAAATATCCTCTCGTACTATGACAGGAATATATTATTGAAGTATTTTAAATAAACAGATGATAACTTAAGCTTTCCATATAAATAAACATTTCACATTTCTAGGTATTAAAATTACAGATATCAACAATAACACTCATGGATCTCACCCAAATGCTGAAAGGACTATATTCTTTCCTCATCAGAATCAGTACAATTTAAACCCTGAATGTGAGTGTGACAATATTTAGCAGTAAATTCAAGCAACTTTAAACACAGCTCAAGGGCACCTTTCAAGTAAAAAATGCAATTTAAAGCAAAGATCATTTAAATCCCTGAAATGAAATTACCTTTGATAAAGTTCGCCTGACATCTTCATGATCCTTCCAAATGGATTTGATCACAGAAGCACTGTCAGCATTGTCTATAACTTTCATTACTGTTGACTTCAAGCTCTGATATTCCTTCATCAGATCAATAAGAATGCAGGACTGCTCCTTTCTGCAATGTGAAAAGGCTACATTAGCACCATTTGCTTTCATGCTTCTGAAGGAAAGGCAATGTTATGTAGTGATTCACCATGAGAAAATCAGGATGCAATGCTAAACATGTTTTGGGCAGCCAAGGAAATATTTATATTAAGGTTTTACAAATCACTGTGGGTCCATATATCACGAAACATCTCACTGATGAGGCAGTGTATGAATCACCACCTTGTATATATCAGATATCAAAGGAACTGACAAACAACAGGAATATTGAAACTGGAATTCCAGTTTCTAATTTCCTAAGTTTAGCATCTTACTGACTGGAAGTCACATTAGCATGATGCTGGCACTTCCAAGCTCAATTTTTTTTTTTCAACTTGTTGTATGCTAGAAGGTGTGTATGTGCTAGTTGGAGTGATAGTGAAATCTCAGTGGAGATTTATCTTCTGGGAGAATCAACATGTAACTAAAAGCCCACCATATCTACAAGTACTGTCCTGAGGACCTGTGTGTGGTTTTATTAATAGTATAATTGCAACTGGTACAAATATCTTGGTTTATAATGTTTTATTTTCTACTCAGTATTTAACATACAAACCCTGTTTTTTATTTGGATTAACAGGCCAGAAGATATTCAATATAAATACTTGGGTCTCTTTCC